CCATTATAAAAGACTCCCTAATATTGACCCATTATAAAAGACCCTCTAATATTGACCTATTATAAAAGACTCTCTAATATTGACCCATTATAAAAAACTCCCTAATATTGAACCATTATAAAAGACTCCCTAATATTGACCCATTATAAAAGACTCCCTAATATTGACCCATAATAAAAGACTCCCTAATATTGAACCATTATAAAAGACTCCCTTATATTGACCCATTATAAAAGACCCCCTTATATTGAACCATTATAAAAGACCCCCTAATATTGAACCATTATAAAAGACTCCCTAATATTGAACCATTATAAAAGACCCCCTAATATTGAACCATTATAAAAGACCCCCTAATATTGACCCATTATAAAAGACCCCCTAATATTGAACCATTATAAAAGACTCCCTAATATTGACCCATAATAAAAGACTCCCTAATATTGAACCATTATAAAAGACTCCCTAATATTGACCCATAATAAAAGACCCCCTAATATTGACCCATTATAAAAGACTCCCTAATATTGACCCATAATAAAAGACTCCCTTTTGACCATAAATAAAAGACTCCCTTATATTGACCCATTATAAAAGGCCCCCTAATATTGACCCATTAAAAAAGACTCCCTAATATTGACTTGTAATAAAAGACTCCCTAATATTGACCCATTATAAAAGACTCCCTAATATTGACCCATAATAAAAGACTAATAATATTGACCGATTATAAAAGACTCCCTAATATTGACCGATTATAAAAGACTCCCTAATAGTGACCCATAATAAAAGACTCTAATATTGACCCATTATAAAAGACTCCCTAACATTGACCGATTATAAAAGACTCCCTAATATTGACCCATAATAAAAGACTCCCTAATAGTGACTCATAATAAAAGACTAATAATATTGACCCATTATAAAAGACTCCCTAATATTGACCCATAATAAAAGACTAATAATATTGACCCATAATAAAAGACTCCCTAATAGTGACCCATAATAAAAGACTAATAATATTGACCCATAATAAAAGACTAATAATATTGACCCATTATAAAAGACTAATAATATTGACCGATTATAAAAGACTCCCTAATAGTGACCCATAATAAAAGACTCTAATATTGACCCATTATAAAAGACTCCCTAATATTGACCTATTATAAAAGACTATAATATTGACCCATTATAAAAGACTCCCTAACATTGACCGATTATAAAAGACCCTCTAATATTGACCCATTATAAAAGACCCTCTAATATTGACCCATTATAAAAGACTCCCTAATATTGACCCATAATAAAAGACTCCCTAATATTGACCCATTATAAAAGACTCCCTAACATTGACCCATAATAAAAGACCCTCTAATATTGACCCATAATAAAAGACCCTCTAATATTGACCCATTATAAAAGACTCCCTAACATTGACCCATTATAAAAGACTCCCTAACATTGACCGATTATAAAAGACCCTCTAATATTGACCCATTATAAAAGACCCTCTAATATTGACCCATAATAAAAGACCCTCTAATATTGACCTATTATAAAAGACTCCCTAATATTGACCCATTATAAAAGACTCCCAAATATTGACCCATAATAAAAGACTAATAATATTGACCCATTATAAAAGACTCCCTAATATTGACCCATTATAAATGACTCCCTAATATTGACCCATTATAAAAGACCCCATAATATTGACCCATTATAAAAGACTCCCTAACATTGACCGATTATAAAAGACTCCCTAATAGTGACCTTATTGACCTTAGACCCCCCCCCAGTTGCCCAATTATTTTCGGAAAAAAGGGTGTTTTTGGGTCAGAAAAACACCCCCTTTGTTGTGAAATGTTTTAATAAGAAATGCACTTTTTTCTTACAAAATAATATAAATTGACGACTGGTGATAAGCGATTGAATGTTCACCATCATTAATAAAAGAATATAGGCATGATTGATGAATATCCTTTATAGGGATTCACTGGTTTAAATATTTACTTCACCACTGGATAGATCTCAACAATCTCTATTACCATTTCAGACACAAAAAATACTGCACCAATTTGTGGTCAAGCAAATTTTTAGACTATTCCATTTAATTTTACTAGGATTCTGAATTTGAAATAATAAGAATTAAATGAAAACTTTTACATGATTTAAGAAATTCCTTGGAAAATAGAAAAAGCACCAGCAGAAAAAAAGCAGTTGCAAGTAAAGCACAGATTTGTGCTCCATCCAAATAGCAATTCATGATTTCTACCAAATATTCTTTAACACAATCTACAGAAGCTATTTTACACAGCTGAATGTTAAAGGGATTGAAAAGAGGTTTTCTAGAATGTTTTATGTGTATCAGGGACACTGATAACATCAATTTACAACATTCCAATTTTCAATCAGATGTCTGTGGTACTTGCAATTCCAATTGGATTAAGTGCTTCATGAAGTTGCTATTACAAAGACCTTCAGATATCATTGCCGGCTTTTACAATAGTGAGGTAATATAATTACAGGAACCACAGGATGAAAACAGACATCTGACTGAAGTTGAAATGGTCCTAATTGACGATATCAGTGAACCCTGATACACATAAAAAGTTTAAAAGATCTCTTTACAATCTCTTTAAAGAAAATATAAATTGTTTTATTCATTCAAACAAGAGCAACAAACATCCTTAAAGCTAAACTGATGAACGGAAAGTACATGTACTAAATAATGCATTGCACGATTAATTGCTGGCCAAAAAATAGAATTTAAATAGCAAGCTGATTAGCAATAGCACAATAGTAGGTCGATTTTAATCTTGCCTTTCATGATTTTATTTATTTTGTTCGAAATCTAGAATCTCTAAGCATGAATGAATTCAAATTACTAAATTTAGGTCAATATACTAAATGCACATGCATATTCTAATATCATGATTGACAGTAACTATTAATAGTACATGTTTTAAAATATGCATTGACAATCTGAGCCTCACAAGAATTATTGAGAAAATGCCATTTTTTAAGAAAAAATCTCTAAAACCTCGACTACTATGACAATGAAAAATTACAAGTTATCAAAAATCATAATTTTCAACTAAAGTTGCATCATTCTTTCAGTAATTTAGGTTTCAGTCAGACAGGACTGGTAAATTTCTATCAGACAATATAAGTAAAGGATCTACATTTAAAATAAAATGTCTCCATTTTGGAAAATTAATTGAAAATTGTTGATAACTTGTGATTTTCTATAAAAAGAATTGAGCAGAATTTAAAAATGAGATGATGATAAATGAAATCTGATTATTTACAATATAAAATACAGGAAGGAGTAGACAAGAACAACAAGACGTAATAATAAATAGAAATGTCTATGGACTTGTGTAGACTTGAACACTACACGGTGGTTTTGTTGTCAAGGACTGTTTACATTATGAGATATTTTCAGCCATTTTTTGTGTGCGCCATTTTTTAAGCGATAAGCTTTCTTAACCTGAGAGAGTTTCAGATTTTAATGAGCAAAATTCCAAGATTCTGAGTCAAATACTAAATGATTAAAATCATAGCTTACTGATTGGTCAATTTCATTACTGTTCAGATAACATATTGACCAATCAGATGTCTTAAAAGTCTTCACTCCTCAAAATAAAAATAATTGATAATGTAAACAGCCCTTCATAGAGCAGTTATAATAAAATAAAAACTTTTATCCTTTTGTTCATGATCTTTGTTAACTTGTTCAAAAAACAGAACTTTAATATAAATTTGTTCATCAAAAACCAGTTTCTTTCTTTTGTCATGTCTGCAGACAAGGATCATTCCCCCTTCACCCTGGTTTTCTCAACTCCCTCTCCCCCTCACAATCTTTCCTTTCTCCAGAACAGGAAAAGACGCTAGCTGCCCTCAATAATAACCTCTAACAACTAAATACAACATTACAACAATAAACCATAGGATGGAGAAATTCTAAAATTAACCACTAATCGTCTGAACTGAATTCATCAAATCTGATTGGCTAAAAAGGTAACAGTTGACTAAATCAACCAATCAGAGTTCTGAATATCAATTCTGACAATACCTCCTTCACCTCTCACCTGATATATGTCCCTTACCCAACCCTAAACCCTTTACTAACGTTGTTTTCTTTCTTTAGAACTCATCAAGCAATTTGTTATTTCATGAAGTGATTCTGGGCACGTATTCTCAAAATGATCTTAGCGCTAGGATATCCTAGATACAAGGTTAAAAGATAAGACCCTAGACATCATAGCACTAAGATAGTTATGAGAATACATGTCCTGGCTTTCACAAAAACATTGTATTTGAAAAACACTCTTACACCATCTCATATCAATTTTCAATAACTAGCAAGCACCTGTTAATAACACTGGGTCTTCCAATTCTGTTGAACCAACACATAATAATTTGTAGATATTTGGTCAGTAAACCATCTTGGTTTTATCAATGTATAAACCACATGGACGTCAGGCTTTCCAACACTTTTGTTGCAGTTTCACGCAAATCAATTCCATCCAATTGGCCAGCAAATAAATTATTTTGATCACTGTACGTGTCTATGACATCAGCCTCTTTAAAACTTTTATAACATCACATATGAATTTATAACAACGGTTTAGCTCATTCCATCACTGTACAAGCCACACGAAACGATTTATAACAATTAGTGACACCAGGTTTTCCAACACTTTTGAAAACACATATTAATTTGCAGCAAATAGCGAGCTGTACCAGGCTTACCAAAACTTTTTCACCCAGAAATTGACCTGCAAATAATCTTCTTTTCCAAATCTCAATGAACACGAGACAGAAAGGATTTCAAGTTTAAGAGTCAGTAAGAATCACAGCTATAGATGAGTTTAAGGCGTATAAAAACAAAGGACGTGAAAAGATGAAAGATCATCGTAAAGCCGTCGTTCCATCTTTACTCACTAATAGTTGAAGGCCTGATGCTGAAATAAAAATAAATTTATATTATAAAGAGATATTCAAATTGAATGGAAGTTTTGTAAATATTTTATTGGTATTGGGTACACTGATAGCATCAATTTACACCATTCCAATTTTCAGTCAGACGTCTGTGGTTCCTGCAAGTCCACTAAAACTAAGTATTTTATGACATAGCTCTTGCAAAGGTCCTTAGATATCATTAGCAGATTTAGCATAAGCATTTCTACCTTCAGGTTAGCAAGTGTCTAACTCAGTAAGCACTACAACTCACTGGAATCAAACTGGAAGAAATCAAAATTCAATCTACTTACACTCTTCTGTTTGTGAAAGCCCTAAATCAGTATTTTGTATCAATTCTTCTACCAAATCTTCAGCATCAACTCTCGTCATTCCAACTCGGCGTTCTTTCTCACTGTCTTCTTGTTTCTATAAATAGATAGGATAGAAACTGAAAGTAGAGTTAACAACTCATCTTTCATTTCTAACAGCTGGTCTAACAGAATCACCTAGACACAATCTTTCTTATGAATAACCAATAGAATAAAAATAAGGATCCTGTATACCTGTTGGCAATGATTTTACCAGGACAACAAATTAGGTACACTAGTATCATGTTAATAAACTTACCCGTCTTCGTTCTAATTTACTGAATTCAGCTAATGCAGATGCTGTACTGGGAGTTCTAAAAAGGAAAGAATCATTCATAGACATTATTGTTCACAGAACTTGATAGAGTTCACAAGCATAAAATTCAAAGAACAAGGACCATAACTGTTGTTATACAGTCAGAACTTTTCAGCATTTCAATGGAAATTTCAATTGTATGATAACTAGTAAAATCGTTGGTGACAAATCTCAATACAGATTATGTAACTTAGTAATAACAAGCCAATCCAGAGAACAAAGTGTTTTGAAAAGAGATAAAACTAGTCTCATCAACTCACCTCATATGAGCTAAAATACTGGTACTACTGGAGATATCATTCCCAACACTGGACTGTCGACTGTGGGTCATAGAACCATACCCTGACCCCCGGGACTGTTGACTCACGTAACTTGAACTCCGAGAATGACATTTCTCAAATTCCTTTCCACTGTCGGTGTCGTTCACTTCTGAAAAGGAAAAGAAAACAATGAATTATAAAAGAGTTGTTCCCCTTTACTTTACAACAGTAATTTTATAATGAAGATAAATAACACCATGCAGTGTTCAATGAAGGACATTTTGCAGGAAGTTTGCTCATTTACATCACTACATGCAATTAGATAATGAAGTCAGTTAACACCATGCAGTGAGAAATAAGGTAAATATTGTCAGGACAGCTGCATTAGTCTTTACAGAATCAAATATAGAATCACATGGTCATAAGCCTTGAAGGTATGCTGTTTGGCTGGTAGCGAAGGATACATGATGCGACCCTGGCAAGCATTTACCCATGGCCTTTTTATGAATCATTAGTAGAGGGGACAGAGTCTGAACCACAGAATTGTTTAGGGGGTTCACAGGTAATTCTTTCTTTCCTTGTGTCAAATGATAAGAAACTTACAAGCTATGGGGCTAAAGGCTGACCATCCTCTGGCCCCTCCCCCCCATAGAAACACTACTACCACCTACAAAGCAAATGAAAAACGTACCCATGGGGATGCTGGTAGGATAATGGGAAGAGGAAGTGGAATGAGTTTTTTCTTTACGAGTCAAACTTCCGAAGCCACTACTGTTAGAGGCTACACTACCTTCGCTACAATCCTCTATCGAACGTAACTCCATCGGCATGTCTGTTGCCGCTACAACGTCACCTTCTGATTGGCTGCTTAATGGCAAGGAAGGATGGGAAGGCCTGAAACAAATTTCAAAACATTTCAAATCACTGTGAATATGACATCCCTCCAAAGTTTTGTTAATTATTAAAACCAATTCATTTGAAATGTTTATTATAGTTCTACAGGTTATAATTCCTACCATCTAAAACCACAAACACATTGGAACGATTATAAAAACTCAATATTAATAATAATGAACAAGTTACTGCTCAGAAAAGTTTGTCATTATGTAAATTAAGAATTTCTCTATCATTCATAATAAACTTAATGAGAGACTGGATATCCCTTAACATTTTATTGAACTCTTCCATTACATGCTACTTTATATCAATTTAATACTGTACATGTATGATTGGAAGAGCTCATTAGTAAACTTAGAGGGGTATTTTTTGTTTCCAGTCAAATTATTTAAGTTGAAAAAATGGACCCAGATGTGCAAAAATATCTTGCTCGACTTTCGTCCCAAATATAAAAAAATGACTTACACTTTAAAGACAGGGTCTCCTGATATCAAGCAAACTTCAATAGTAACTTTAATATTAGAATTATCTTGTCTATGTTTGGTGTCATACCCTTCCAGTAAATATCTCCGAGACTGAGGTCCTGACCCAGGAAACTCAGCAAGGTTTATATCAGCAAACCCTAATTTATGGTGAGACCGCCCTCCTTTTAACTCCTGTAAAAAACATAATTCAAAATTAATCAATCATATTACTTCAATTGTCAAAGAATACAATGTTTACTTCAGATCATATTAACCAGGCTGTCAGGTCAACAGCAGAAGACAACTCTTATTTCAATTCAAACTTAATATTAGGTCTTAACGTATAGCCTGTAGCACATAGAGCTTCAGTTTATTGTCCCATCTGAAGGACTGAACGCTTTTTCCATATCAGCTTCTCCTGCATAAATAACAAGAAAATCTGGGTCAAAAAAATCCAACCTATGCTATTCCTTACCCCTATGTTAGCAAGCAAGACTTAAACATTCAAGGACTCAGAAAAGGAAAATGGGTGTGGTGATGCTTACCCTCCTGACTGACACCCTACAGACACAGGGTTCCAGTATACCAGTATTGACATTGGCTGTCATTTTACATGGAAACTGAAACTTGGAATTCCAGATGACTCTATTATTTCTTACTTCTTCTCTATAAATATAAAAAACAAACATTATCATAAATATTGACTAGAAATTAGTACCTAAAAATAAGGGAATAAATTCCAAAGGAAAGAAATAAGTATTTGGCATTTGGTTCAGAAGCTTGGAAATTGGTTTAAAAAACTAGGAAAAGGAGGGGCGGGAGGTGGGGGGGGTGGGGGGGGGGGGGGGGGTGAGGCTGATTCAGAAAACAATGAAATGGCTCAAAAAGCATTGAAATCAGTTCAGAGAGACGGAAATTAGTTCAGAAAGACGGAAATTAGTTCAGAGAGACAGAAATTAGTTCAGAGAGACGGAAATTAGTTCAGAAAGACAGAAATTAGTTCAGAGAGACAGAAATTAGTTCAGAGAGACGGAAATTAGTTCAGAAAGACGGAAATTAGTTCAGAGAGACAGAAATTAGTTCAGAGAGACGGAAATTAGTTCAGAGAGACAGAAATTAGTTCAGAAAGACGGAAATTAGTTCAGAGAGACAGAAATTAGTTCAGAGAGACGGAAATTAGTTCAGAGAGACAGAAATTAGTTCAGAGAGACAGAAATTAGTTCAGAGAGACAGAAATTAGTTCAGAAAACTTGAAATATGACAAAGTTATCAGCCCTAATAAATAATAATAGAATAATAAACATGGTTTAAATTAATCAGAAATATTAGTTCCACCAAAATCATTCAGGCATACAATTCATTAGAATAAATATCCATTATTCAGTGATACTGATCATTTGATTAACCATTTTAATTAATATACATCGTTAATTGTCTATTAGCTTATTAATATTCAATAAATACTTTAGACCTATTTCAACCTGTGTTTCTAACAAGTTGAATTGACCACAGGTCTGTCATAAACACTATCCTAGGACTCAATAACATTACTATTCATGACTGAGTCAAATTGAACATTTATAATAAACTATTTTAATTAATATACATCGTTAATTGTCTATTAGCTTATTAATATTCAATAAATACTTTAGACCTATTTCAACCTGTGTTTCTAACAAGTTGAATTGACCACAGGTCTGTCATAAACACTATCCTAGGACTCAATAACATTACTATTCATGACTGAGTCAAATTGAACATTTATAATAAACTATTTTAATTAATATACATCGTTAATTGTCTATTAGCTTATTAATATTCAATAAATACTTTAAAACAGTTTAATCCTAAACTGACCAGTGCCCTGTTACAAACACTATCCTATGACTCAATAAAATAACTATTAATTACTGAGTCAAATTGAACATTTAATCAAATCATTTTACATAGTTGATTCCTAGTCAGACATGACTGGCAAATTAACAGACCAGATTAGCATGCTTTAAGGGGTAATATGTTATCTTTTCTCCCATTGTTCAAGAATATGTAGGTTTTTGTGATAATGCAATGACACAGAGCTCATAATACACTAAGTAAAAGCCACATGTAAATTGTCTGGTATCAAAAGTTTTGAGTCAGAAACCCTGTTTACAAATTGTAAACATTTGCACAAAAATTTGATATAATCATCACCTTAATGCATGTGAACTCTCTAGATCACAGTTGATAATAGAGATTACATCTATTGTAATGTCAAACTATAAAAAATACTACAGTGCATTAGTTTAAATTGTTCAAAGATAACAAAATAAAACCATTAGAGATAAATAGAATTGAAGTTTAATATCCTTCAAACAAAAACCAAATTTAACATTTAAAATAAAATGAATGGAGTTTTACTTCATGCTTAGCTGTCTGCACAATTTTCATTATCAAAAACGTCGTAAATTATACCTGAAACTATTTCTAAAGTATGTTATTTATATCTTTGTATCTACTTGATCAAACTGAATTTATTTTAAAAGGGTTAATTAAAAACGGGGAGTACTAATTGTTAATTAAGCATCTTTACACTATTTCTGATTTAGGATATTTTTAGTTGAAACCTTAAGAGTACTAAAAATCAACCTGAAACTTTTCATCAATTCTAAACTTTCACACGTATTTCAACCCCAAATTCATATTTCATCAAGCAATTAAAGTTGACATGATGTAGAGAAGGAAGAGTAGTAGACAGGTCTGGATGTTAGTGACTATATATTATAAACTGTCTGGTCAATCTGACCTATCCAACTTGTCAAGTTTTTATAATAAATAAAATATATCTCTGGTGAGACACCTATGGTTTATATTTTATCATATCATTAGCTGTACTATCAAGTATAAGTTAGAGTCTAGTATAGGGGGAGAGAATTGTCAAGGGAGGTTTTCTTTCTGTGATTTGATTTCTTTGAGAAATTTGAAAGAAAAGGGCAGAAACCAGACTACCCTCAGTCCCTTACCCTCAACCCCGCCCCCGTCTCGCCCTCCTGGACACATAAAATTATTTCACCAAAAAAAAAAAAGACTGTAAAATTATGGCTTATGGTTAACCACCTTCTGCTGAGGTTTCTGATTGGCTATATTCATTTGCATACAATCCAATCCAAGGTATAAGTACGAAGTTGGTAACAGCTTGACATTGTGAAGTTACGAAATAGAAAGATATTTCAAAATATCAGTAAATACTCCTACTTGAATAATTATTGTTGAAAATCGTCATGACAATCAACACATCCTTCACACTCTTTTACAATAATCAATAGACTAGAGTACTACATATTTTATCAATACTTGTTCATTAATAATACATTCTATAACATTGTCTCTGTCAGGGTTGTTGATAGGACTGTATTTACCAGTCAATTCATTTAATATCTTATATAACATTGTCATAGTTTGCATGATTTACCAGCCATCTCTGACTAGAGCTCTAGACTGTTGATTTAACTGTGTTTACCAGTCATGTCTGACTAGAGCTGTAGACTGTTGATTTAACTGTATTTACCAGTCATGTCTGACTAGAGCTCTAGACTGTTGATTTAACTGTATTTACCAGTCATGTTTGACTAGAGCTCTAGACTGTTGATTTGACTGTATTTACCAGTAATGTCTGACTAGAGCTCTAGATTGTTGATTTGACTGTATTTACCAGTCATGTCTGACTAGAGCTCTAGACTGTTGATTTAACTGTATTTACAAGTCATGTCTGACTAGAGCTCTAGACTGTTGATTTAACTGTATTTACAAGTCATGTCTGACTAGAGCTCTAGACTGTTGATTTGACTGTATTTACAAGTCATGTCTGACTAGAGCTCTAGACTGTTGATTTAACTGTATTTACAAGTCATGTCTGACTAGAGCTCTAGACTGTTGATTTAACTGTATTTACAAGTCATGTCTGACTAGAGTTCTAGACTGTTGATTTAACTATATTTACCAGTAATGTCTGACTAGAGCTCTAGATTGTTGATTTGACTGTATTTACCAGTCATGTCTGACTAGAGCTCTAGACTGTTGATTTAACTGTGTTTACCAGTCATGTCTGACTAGAGCTCTAGATTGTTGATTTAACTATATTTACTTACCTGATGTTTAAATATATATTTTGTAATGTAACTTTATAACTTTTTTTACAATAAAAAAAATTTACACCCTGTAGCATGGCTTGTAATCAATTAAAATCTATAACAAAGATTTCTTTTTGATTTAATTGATTATACAATAACTCTGTATAAATTTGAGTACCTTTGGGATATTTACACCCTCTAGGTAGACTACTAGTTAGAAATACAATAGTTATAATAAACAACACACCCTCAAGATATTTACCAGAATAGTGTTTTTATCTTATTTAATTATTTATTCATTGAATCGTAGACAAACTGACTTGCTGTCATCTAGAATGTTGGTCATTAATTCACATAGAGTTCGAGCTATCAACTGAAGTCAATGTGACATGGGAAAGTAGGTAACTGGGATTTTTCAGTAGGGCAGAGACGAGTAGGGGTAATCCAAACCTGCCTATAAAAGTCTTGTCAACTTTTATTAATTTAACATTAGAAGGCAGGGGCCATGGCTTTATTTTTCTTAGGGCACACTAGCCCATAATCATATAAAGTCAGTCTTTTGTACCTTATGAACTACTGAAGACAGGCAACACAACACCTCGCAGTTTGCAATGGGGGAAAGTTTGAAGCTGCATAAGCCAACTCTCCAACTATCGAGGGTTCATTAAGATGCACAGCCTAAACACATGGGGTATCAATTTAAAGTCCCATCTGAACGACTAGACATCAGCCCATATGACCTGCATCACTGACAGGGAGAAACCTGGTTGAAATATCTGAAATAATTGACAGAATGTGAAGACAGACTTTGTTGTTGGTTACAAAAATCAACCTAATGTTGGGAATACAGCGATAGAAAATTATTGTATGTACAGTAATTTAATTAACAGATACTAGTATTTACGAGTGAATTCTATTTCTAGTATTGTCTAAACTAATTCTGCATCTTGCTGTTTGTTAAATAAACATGGTTATGCTTGAACAGATAGAAAATTGATTTAATGAAATTATCAGAATTAATCATCTGGATGTTATACTTATTTTATTACTAAAGAAGATTTGTATTGTGTGTACAGAAATAAACTTCTAGTAGAGACTTAAACAGTGGTTGGTAATTTAAATAATTAGATTAAATATTGTTATTCCTTGAATGTTGATTTGCTAAAACTAATTTAAGCTAGCATGTTGTAGAATTAAAATAACAATATATTTTCTCAGGGTCTTCTAGTACGAAAGTTTAACATATTAAAAAAAAATGTAGAGCAATTTGAAGTGGGTATTGAATTGTAAATTGGTTTCAAAGTATTATAACCTCAATATATAAGTTCAATAGAAAAACACTTGACGTTCATTCATTCATTCACAAAGTACATTCATTCCCCAAAGATAAAAATATATAATATAAATGATAAAAATATATAATATAAATGATAAAAATATATAATATAAATGATATATAATATAAATGATATATAATATATAATATAAATGATAAAAATATATAATATAAATGATAAAAATATATAATATAAATGATAAAAATATATAATATAAATG